GATTAATACCATATGTACACTCCACAGGCAGCACAAAGAAATTAAAATGGCAAAATTAATTTTGTGAAATTAATGCTTAAAATGAAATAATACAAATGTGTGGCATTAAATAAATAAATACTTAAAGGGATAGTTCACTCAAAAATGAAAATTCTCTCATCATTAACTCGCCCTCATGTCGTTCCAAGCCTGTATAAATTTCTTTCTTATGTTGGACACAAAATAGGATATTCTGAAGAATTTTGAAGGACCAAACAGTTGTTGGTCCCCATTGACTTCCATAGTAGGGAAATAAATACTATGGAAGTCAATGGGGACCATCAACTGTTTGATTACCAGCATTCTTCAAAACATCTCCTGTTATGTTCAACATAAGAAAGAAACTCATACAGGTTTGAAACAACACGAGGGTGAGTAAATGATGACACAATTTTAATTTTTGGTTGAACTATCCCTTTAATTTGTTTTACAACTTCATTTGTGGACCTCTAACTGAACTGGCATTACTTTTATGTCTCTTGTTTCATACAAACACAACTAGACTTTGTTATTACTATACTATATATATATATATATAAATGTATGTATATATATATATATATATATATATATAGGTGCTTCCCGTAAACCAACCAAAGAGGGCTTCTTTCAAAATAAATCAAGAGTCAGCATTTGTGATGCAATATTTTGACACATTTTCAAAACACATTATTATTTAAGAGTAAAGTAAAATTATAAAATATTTTTGCAACATTTCTAATATTTTTATGATAATGCTAAAAATCAGAAATGTTTTCAAAAAACATTTTATAATTTTACTTTATACTGTGTATGTACACACACATAGGTTTTGTTTCTTTTCTATTTTTTTTCTTTATTTTATATTCTTTGTAATAGAAATGTGTGTTCAAATTTGAAATGTGTTTCAATTCCTGTTATAAATTTCAGGGAGTCTGTGACCCTCTGTGATCTTCTCAGATCCCACAGACAGCGCCACGTCTGCAGTGCATAGTATAATTACACCTCCTTCGTGGCCCTGCTTTCAGTGTCTGCAGAAGCTAGAATGGAAAATGCCACGTTGCAGAGAATCAATTTTTTTCCAGCGTTGTCTAATCCAGATGTTTCTCTCCTTGCTGCTCTGTACACTCAGAAAGTACAGACATTAGCAATCTATAGCAGAGTGAACCTCTGTGACTGTAAACTTCATGTGATGTCTCATGAGTGGAATGAAACGGTAGGCGTGATTAGTTTAGTCTGCTGGTCAGGACACACAAAACTATGAGACAGTGCAGTGGAATGGGCCCCTGGAATCTCAGACAGGATTTTTTTTTTTAGAGGATTCAACCATTTGACACTCTCTGTCCAAAAAAGGAAAAAAAAGTGCTGCCCATCTGAAATACATGCTACATTTGCAGTCAGCCACTATGGACCATTTTCACAAAACTGTGATGACACGTTTCAATGGTTATCAGCATTGTAAATCCTAAAAAAGTTTAGTTTTTAGCACTGTACTTTGTATTATATTACCTTTGCATCAAATTACAAAAAAACTAGTCGAAATCCCACCGTCTGGTGTGTAATTCAGAATCCAGCTATTTTCAGTCAGGCCCCATGAGAGGTGCTTCCCGTAAACCAACCAAAGAGGGCTTCTTTCAAAATAAATCAAGAGTCAGCATTTGTGATGCAATATTTTGACACATTTTCAAAACACATTATTATTTAAGAGTAAAGTAAAATTATAAAATATTTTTGCAACATTTCTAAAATTTTTATGATAATGCTAAAAATCAGAAATGTTTTCAAAAAACATTTTATAATTTTACTTTATACTGTGTATGTACACACACATAGGTTTTGTTTCTTTTCTATTTTTTTCCTTTATTTTATATTCTTTGTAATAGAAATGTGTGTTCAAATTTGAAATGTGTTTCAATTCCTGTTATAAATTTCAGGGAGTCTGTGACCATCTGTGATCTTCTCAGATCCCACAGACAGCGCCACGTCTGCAGTGCATAGTATAATTACACCTCCTCCGTGGCCCTGCTTTCAGTGTCTGCAGAAGCTAGAATGGAAAATGCCACGTTGCAGAGAATCTATTTGTTTCCAGCGTTGTCTAATCCAGATGTTTCTCTCCTTGCTGCTCTGTACACTCAGAAAGTACAGACATTAGCAATCTATAGCAGAGTGAACCTCTGTGACTGTAAACTTCATGTGATGTCTCATGAGTGGAATGAAACGGTAGGCGTGATTAGTTTAGTCTGCTGGTCAGGACACACAAAACTATGAGACAGTACAGTGGAATGGGCCCCTGGAATCTCAGACAGGATTTTTTTTTTTTAGAGGATTCAACCATTTGACACTCTCTGTCCAAAAAAGGAAAAAAAAGTGCTGCCCATCTGAAATACATGCTACATTTGCAGTCAGCCACTATGGACCATTTTCACAAAACTGTGATGACACGTTTCAATGGTTATCAGCATCGTAAATCCTAAAAAAGTTTAGTTTTTAGCACTATACTTTGTATTATATTACCTTTGCATCAAATTACAAAAAAACTAGTTAACGCTAATGTGAGGGTGTTTCTAATAGGGAGTGAATTTGACATCGTTCTCTCTACTGACTGCCATTATCAGTCTCTCTCTATTTTTTTTAAAGTCATGAAAACACTATCATGGAGTTTTCTTTTGCTATTTGAGCAAGTGGGAATGCAAAAAACATATTTGTGGTAGTCTCCCATTCACTCCTATAGAAGTTTACCCAACTATGATGACTTCTGCAGCTGAGAAACTCGGAAATGTGAAAAAGGTCAATAGATCATATGTGCACCATTATCAGATCATAAATGAGTTTACTAAGAGTGAATTACAAAAATGCATTTGACAGAGATTCCATGCAGAAAATCACTATTTGATATTAGTTGAGTGAACACCAGAGAGATTTCTAGACCAGGGGCCGGTTGCATAAACTGCTTAGACTAGTCTTAAAAAGTTATAAGACTGGTCTAAAAGGGATAGTTCACCCAAAAATGAAAATTTGATGTTTATCTGCTTACCCCCAGGGCATCCAAGATGTAGGTGACTTTGTTTCTTCAGTAGAACACAAACGAAGATTTTTTAACTCAAACCGTTGCAGTCTGTCAGTCATATAATGGAAGTGGATGGCAAACACGGCTTTGAGAGTCAAAAAAACATACACAAACAAAACCAAATTAAACCCTGCGGCTCGTGACGATACACTGACGTGTAAAGACACGAAACGATTGGTCTGTGCAAGAAACTGAACAGTATTTATATCGTTTTTTACCTCTGATTCACTGCAATGTCTGAACTGTCCTGAGTGCGTCCTGAGCACGTTCTTAACAGCCGGCGCTTGAGGCGTCTTCTTCTTCTTCTTGCTTTACGGCGGATCGCAGACTTATAAGTGCATTCTTCTTCTTCTTCGTTGGAGTTTTACGGCATTTGGCATCCATAGTGTTGAATTACTGCCATCATTATAAGTGTATTACCACCACCTATCTCTCAAATGGACCATTGACACTCCTAATTGAGATTGTAGATAGAGTGTCAATGGTCCATTTGAAAGATAGGTGGCGATAATGCACTTCTAAGTCTGCGATCGGCCGTAAAGCAAGAAGAAGAAGAAGATGCGTCACGCACCGGATGTTGAGAACGCGCTCAGGACAGTTCAGACATTGCGGTGAATCAGAGGTAAAAAAAACTATATAAATACTGTTCAGTTTCTTGCACAGACCAATCGTTTCATGTCTTTACACATCAATGTATTGTCACGAGCCACAGGGTTTAATTTGGTTTTGTTTGTGTATGTTTGACTCTCAAAGCCGTGATTCCCATTCACTTCCATTTTATGACTGACAGACTGCAACGGTTTGAGTTAAAAATCTTAGTTTGTGTTCTACTGAAGAAACAAAGTCACCTACATCTTGGAAGCCCTGGGGGTGAGCAGATACACATCAAATTTTCATTTTTTGGGTGAACTATCCCTTTAACTTTTTTAATTCAGTTACAAAAAGGTATATTGGTATATTAATTTAAATCTCAGAAGTATGACCAATTACCCCTCATCTACTACTAGTTGGTGAAACCAGTTCTTAAGACCCAGTCTTAAAATAGTGGCTAAGTTTATGCAACTTTTTGCTTTCTCTTTGATGAAACAAAGATGAAAAAAAGCACATATAGCGTATAATAACACATAGGAATCATGCATCAAATATTGTGTAAAAGAAGCAACAGATTTATACAATAATTAATAAATGTTATCTTTCGATCACATAAAACAAGTGCAGTTTTACATAGCCTTATGTACAGTATACTGGTTCAAATTATATTGGTGGATTTTATATGTATTTTAAATGTTGTGGCGTTTTATTAGAATTTTTTTTAATTGGTGCATTTGTAAGGAAATAAGGACATTTTTATCAATAGTTTTGAGTACTTGTTTTAAACTTAGTCTAACGAAAGCAATGATACGTTTCGGGGATTTTTCGTTTTAACAAAAGAATAAAAGGCACATCCGAGCAGACAAACCCAAAGCAGTTTTCTTTGTTATTCAGTCTTTCCTTGCTTCAACACTGACCTACATGCTCTGACATGAAGCTTAATTCAATAATACTTAGCTGGAAGGAAGAGTTTTTGTAGATCGGGCACAAATTATGATCTGGCCTGTTATGCTAGTTTATGTTCGCTCCATTTGGAGGCACTTAAATTTACTAAAACTATTGTTTTAGTCTTTTTAGCAATAAAATGCTATGATATAGACCAGTTAGTTTTCCTATTAGACCAAGTAATGTTTAACACTATGAGATTATAAAGATAATATTCACATGCCTACAGTAAAGTTCAAACATGAACTTAGTTAAAAGTTTGTGGTGGAGAGTATACATTGAGTATAAAGGTCCACGTGAGTTGGATACACAGAGTTAACTGTGGGACGTCCCACCCTAACCGAGTGAAGGGAGGGGGGTTGACCGGACCTGCCCACAGCAAATGTCTTCTGTGTGAACTTGTGTTGCTGTTAGATAGTTTCAGACCCTTTCACCAGCTGACATCTCCTCTGGCTTCTCTGTTAGACGGACAGAAGGTAAGATCATTCATTTGTGTACTCTTCTCATTCTTACATCCTTAATAAGGAAAACTAGTATAGTCTCACAGTCAAGTGTTGATTTACTAATACTTTTTTAAACCATCCCCAAAACGGTTCTTACTAATAGTAGCTTGATTTTTGTTTTTGTTCTATACTTGCGTGCTAAAAAGATTACAAGTAAAGATCACGTTCCCATGTGCATGTAATGAAACACAGATTTATTGAAAGCACTGACCTTACTCTGAAACTTCCACTGGAAGCAGGTGTCTGTTGTGTTACATAAACTTTGAGTGTTGCTTGTTTATTAATGATGATAAAATTAATGCAAACAGATTATTTACCAGGCTAATGTTTGAACCTATACCGTGTAGTCTAGGGCTCAAAGCAGCACAATATTGAGGTATTGTGTGCCACATATGCAGCAGGAGGGGTGAACACAGAGTCAGAGATAAAGGGGGAGGGGAGAGAGAGTCGGCCCCGATAGGCCCCTCCCCTTCCAATTACTCCCATCAAAAGGAATGCATGTTTCCATGGCGATTTTTCACCAGCTGTTTGAGAACATGTCAAACTGAGGCAGATGTCTCCGCTGTAGACAAACAAGAATCGCGTGAACTGTCAGCCTACAGCTGCTGGAAGGGCCCGTATTGTTAAATAAAAATAAGAGAAAAGTTTGAAAATCCTTTCTATAATTTTTTTATTTATTTATAAAACTTCACATATACAACTGCATATGGTATGATATCTTACAAGATTTTATGACAAATGTGTGGTACAGCATGGATAATATTTTTCCTGTGGTTTGCCGAAAAGGTTTTATGAGAGATGGCATAAACAAACATTTTATTGAAACTAAGAAAGGTTTTATGTGCCTTTGGGTGAAATAAAAAAGGTTAAATGTGTTTTTTCATCAATTCTGTGTGCAAAGGGATTGTAAACCCTACAAATCAGACTTATATTTACAACGCATATGGATTAGTGAATCGAAAAAGAAAAAAGAAAATCTAAAAAGTGAAGTTGTAGAAACTACTTTTAACACGGTGGTTTGTGGCTTGCGCTCACCTTGAGGATCAGATAGGAATATAAATGAATAAGTCATACTTTCTCGCCCACAGATAAGGTCTTTTCAAGGTGATACGCTTATATCTATAGGATGGAATTCATTTCCTTTCTCACAGACAGTTGCTCTTTGCACTGGATAAAGGAGAGAGCTATGAAGTAATAACAGAGCAGTTTAACTTACAAACAGTGGCGGGGGGAAGGGCGGGCGACTTAAAAAGGTCAGGGGATTGTTAACTCGGGTTACATGGCTCTTTTTTTGCTCACTCACTCTCTTTTGTCTTCCTCGGAGGTCCCTGCATGTACTCATTTTCAGCAGAGGATGAAATTTCCTCTTCCCTCCCACCTTGTTTATTGGCACAAGGTTTAGCTTTGTAATAGTGATTCCTCATTACTACGAAAAAAGATCGGGTTCCACAGAGATGAGTTTTAATTTCCTGTGAAACAAGGAAATGATGTGACATGTGGCCAAGTATAGTGACCCATACTTGGAATTAGTGCTCTGCATTTATCCCATCCAAAGTGCACACACACAGCAGTGAACACACACACACCGTGAACACACACCCGGAGCAGTGGGCAGCCATTTTTGCTGCGGCGCCCGGGGAGCAGTTGGGGGTTCGGTGCCTTGCTCAAGGGCACCTTAGTCGTGGTATTGAAGGTGGGAGAGAGCACTGTACATTCACTCCCCCACACCTACAATCCCTGCTGGTACAAGACTCGAACCCACAACCTTTGGGTTACGAGTCCGACTCTCTAACCATTAGGCCACGACTTTCCCCCTCAACGCAAGGGATTAGCATGTCAACGCAGATTTGTTTTGAAACCCAACTTTTTGTCACGCTAACTCAGATGTGACTGCAGTGCTGGCAGGTTCACTGTTTGTTTCAAGGGAGCTTTCAGTAAGAAGGACTCTGTTTTTCTGCTTAGCACTAAACGTCACACAGATGCAAGCAAGTAATTGTGCCGTAATGGACAGGTGGCTCATGCATAGGTTTAGTGCAAAGTGGCTTCCTGCTCCATAAATCAAGCATGCCCACCACGCCAAACTCTCTATCCCAGCACTGGGCACTGATGATGATATTCTGTTTGTGTTTAATATGCTAAGGCTACCTGGGATTATATTAGAGTAAGCACAGCAAAGGTATGTTTGTTAGAGAAATCATATGCCATATAGTGTGTAGTATTTAAATAGGCAAGAGATGCATTGGCAGCAAGTCAAATGTTGTAGATAAAGTTTTGCAACTCATTTGTTTATGTAGAGATTTAACCACCTGTTTTGTCGCTCTGGAGAGAGGGAGAAAACTCCGTCTGCAGAGCTTCTGGAAAATGACTCTTTGGAAAAAAACGCATAGCCATGATTTAAGACGTCAGCATTTGAAGAGTGTGACCGAGTCTCTGTAGTTTTCCACGTTTAAGTCTAGAGATGCGGGGCATCTGACCTCAGCCATCTTCTTTTCCTTTGCCAAAGAAAACATCGACGGGCTATTCACACACCTGCTTACATGGTTTTTATGCGCTGAATACAAGAGATTATGCGTCACAAACTCAACAACAAGAGCTCTTCAGTGAAATGACCAACAATATTACTCAAAAATCGAATCTAATTTAGGATCTATGGATCTCCATGACATATTTGAAGATTATTTGAAACCTAAAACCACATTTGGCAACACTAAATGGTCAATCAGAGCCAAAATGTGCATCCAATAAGCCAAGGGGAATCTCAGCAGTTGCTGGGCAAATTATATTCAGGTCAGTGGTTTCAAGAAGACCCCTTAACTCCCATAGGAATTCTACAACTTGGCCAATTATAAATGCACAGATAATATGCAGCAGTCTCACCCATTATCCACTAATGCACAAACGGCCCACCACAGCTTGAGGGGTGGGACTTAGCTTTGATTTTAATCGCTTACAAAGTCAAACACCAAATATGTCGCGATGCATCTTCATCATACTCACAACAAGGTCAGATGGATGCTTCCAATGTCCAATAACTTTCATAACCAAACACAGTCATAACAGTTTTGATACAACATTAGCATCTCAATCACATAACATTAAGAAAGTGCCTTTCAGATATCCTGCCACAGAACTGGCAGGATATCTGTTGTTTTGTAGCCAGTGTCATTGGTGCGTTTGTGTTTTTATAGAGAAACAACAGTGTCTGGCACCAAAAATGCAAAAGTTGATAGAATCACTCACTGATGGTCTACCTACAGTATGGCTGCTTTGAACTTTCCAGCCATAAACTAAATATATTTATAATGAAACAGAGAGATAAGGGGAAAGGAAGAGGGATCTTTGGTATACAGAGAAAATGGACAAGAGAATGAGTGCTTTCAGACGAGCAGCCCCTATCTCCCTGCAGGAAAGTGTCATTTCTCAAGGAGAACATATCACATCAGTCAGTCTTCCAGATGCTCTTTGAGCGAGAGGAAAGCAGAACAAAGGCAGACTGAGCTCTTATCTCAATCAGCTTCTGTCTGGAGAGACAGACTTCTGTAGGTTAGTTATCCGTCGCAGAGCATACAGAGCAGGTCTGGTGGCCCGAATGCGTGTGGTTCAGCGCCTGAGGTCTTGAACTGATGTGCTATTGATCTCAAGCCACTGATGGACTTATATAAAAGGAACATAGAGACCCGAGTAGCATGCATGTGTGTGATCCTGATATCTACGATTCTCCTACTCCACAACACACATTACATGCATAATGCTAACATGATAATGTGATGCAGTGTAAATCCTTCAGATTACCTTTGGTTTTTGTGTTGTAGATATAGAGGATGATGTGAGTTTTTATTTTTGCTTAGGCTGAAACTCAAGATGAGGGTTTGGATCTTCTTCCTGTTTTGCCTCGCTGGCAATACTCTGGCTGCTCCAGTAAGTAAATCTGAAAAGGAACAAAATAAATAATTAAATAAACAATTTATTATCATATATATATATCAGATTTTTCTATATTTTATTTTATATTACTAATTTTATATTTAATAATAATATAATAAAATTGCTTAAAAAATGTTACTTAAAAAAGTCAAACAAGATTTGAATTCAAAACCAAAGAGCATTTTAATGCCCTTTTTAATGCTGCTTTGTGACTACTAAACTTTTACTAAAGTCCATATAAATGTAATTTTACAGACTGAAGAGGAGCCAGTTGTTGAAGAGGTATGTTGTGCTAAATTAATATTTAAATCTTTTAAAAATCTCTTTGCTTATGGCCAAACTGCATTTTTAAGAAGACTTGTCAAGCCAGTCATTGGCCAAAAATAGACAACTCGCCCCCATTATGGGACCAGATGTGTTTACATATGCAGCTTCCTGTTACATTCCCCCAGGGGAATGAAATCCATAAAGTTTGAAAATATATCTGAAAGGGACTAATTACAATTCCCTGCTTCCCCACATGTGCACACAGATGCCAGTTGTGTTGGACACAATGCAAAACTCTTGTCATGTTTCCTCACATAAAAGAGGAAAGCAGTGTTTAAAACTGGGCTTGGTTGTACAGGCCATACCCATAATACTTTTCTGTCTCATAATTCAGGAGCTGGAAGTGGGAGCCAACCCAGTCCAGGTGGAGACCGGAGAGTTTGATGAGGCCATTGAAGTCGTGGAGGATGTTATTGCTGAGAGTGAGTTTAATGTCTTTTCCACACACCTCAAACTATTAGCCATTGTTTTGAGGCTGCGTTTCATTCACCAAACTTACCGATTTATTTTCCTCTCCAGAGATTTATCTGCTGTTAGCATCATGTCTTCTGTCCCTGTGCACGAGTGAAGTTGTGATAACGTGTGTAGATTATATAGAAGTACATTGTAGAAGTACACAAGACTATGGGTAATAACAGGCTGCAGCTAAGTCAAATGTAGACAGCTGTAATTATGCGTTCAGACAGACTATGGTTATACAGGACTATGTTGATTCCAGTGCCAGTCTTCCAGCCACATGCCCACCACAAAATATCTAGGAAGGGCAAGGGGAAAGAAATGTAAATCCATTGGTGAAGGACATTTTTGTCTTTAATGCTTTTTACTTATAGACCCCTGCCTAAACCATCACTGCAAGAAAGGCAAAGTGTGCGAGGTTGATGACAGCAACCAGCCCATGTGTGTGTGCCAGGACCCTCTGATCTGCCCCGCCCCAGTCGGAGATTTCGAGCATGTGCGTGTCTTTAGTCATTTCCTTCATTTCACGTCTGTCTCGTGTCTCCAGATGTGTAGTGACAGCAATGCCTAGAAGCACATGTGCACCATTTGAGCAGATTGATTGAAATGTTGGTTTATGCATTGGGTCAGCAAACATTAGTATGATACCGTGGGGAAATCAAACCTGTCAAGTTGACAACCATGGCATTTAATGTTGCTCATATTTATGGCTTTTATTTCACAGGTCTGTGGCACTGACAACAAGACCTACGAGTCCTCCTGCCACTTCTTTGCCACTAAATGCGCCCTGGAGGGCACCAAGAAGGGCCACAAGCTGCACCTGGACTACATCGGACCCTGCAAATGTGAGCACGTAACAGTGAAGTAAAACAAGGCAGACTTTGAAAGTAAAATCTAGACCACTCACAAACTCAGCCATGAACGTAAATGGAACTGAGTGCTTTGGAGTGATTGGTGGCTTGTAGCTTTGAGGCATCCCCGTTGCCCCCTTCAAACACTGAGCACAGGACGAGCCCGAGCTTGCCGGTGCAGCTCCACAAAGCAGACCCAATCCCCCTAAATCTTCCTCATCCACAGCCGTTGTACGCCTGATGGGATGAGTCGGGAATGAAGGGCTCAAATGGAGCTCCCGCTGTGGTGTAGTCTCCTCAATAAGCAGGGTGTCTCAGGCAGAGTCTCAGAAAATGTGTTTATGGCATAAACAAATTAGATCCTAACAGCTATGACACTAATATTAGCCAGAGGGTTGTAATTTGGCCCCCTTTAGACTCCAATCTGCAGCTAAGTCAAATGTAGACAGCTGTAATTATGCGTTCAGACAGACTATGGTTATACAGGACTATGTTGATTCCAGTGCCAGTCTTCCAGCCACATGCCCACCACAAAATATCTAGGAAGGGCAAGGGGAAAGAAATGTAAATCCATTGGTGAAGAACATTTTTGAATATATGCCCTTAAAAGGAATTAAACAAAATTAATTAAAATATATTGGAGAAAAAATATTTTTAATATGTGCCCTTTGAAGGAATAAATTAAAGTAAAATGTAAAATATAAATTAATAACAAAATTAAATAAAAAACATTTAAAATCCATTGTAGATAAACAAGTTTGAATATATGCCCAATAAATGAATAAAAGTTAATAAAATATATATTAATAACAAAGGTAAATTAAAAAAGAAATAAAAGTATAATATGAAACAATATGAAAAATATAAATATTAATAAAAATGCATTTAAATTTTAAATTAAAAATATTAAATATATATTAGAAATGATAAAAAATTATAATATTTTTTTGTCTTTAATGCTTTCTCCTTACAGACCCCTGCCTAAACCATCACTGCAAGAAAGGCAAAGTGTGCGAGGTTGATGACAGCAACCAGCCCATGTGTGTGTGCCAGGACCCTCTGATCTGCCCCGCCCCAGTCGGAGATTTCGAGCATGTGCGTGTCTTTAGTCATTTCCTTCATTTCACGTCTGTCTCGTGTCTCCAGATGTGTAGTGACAGCAATGCCTAGAAGCACATGTGCACCATTTGAGCAGATTGATTGAAATGTTGGTTTATGCATTGGGTCAGCAAACATTAGTATGATACCGTGGGGAAATCAAACCTGTCAAGTTGACAACCATGGCATTTAATGTTGCTCATATTTATGGCTTTTATTTCACAGGTCTGTGGCACTGACAACAAGACCTACGAGTCCTCCTGCCACTTCTTTGCCACTAAATGCGCCCTGGAGGGCACCAAGAAGGGCCACAAGCTGCACCTGGACTACATCGGACCCTGCAAATGTGAGCACGTAACAGTGAAGTAAAACAAGGCAGACTTTGAAAGTAAAATCTAGACCACTCACAAACTCAGCCATGAACGTAAATGGAACTGAGTGCTTTGGAGTGATTGGTGGCTTGTAGCTTTGAGGCATCCCCGTTGCCCCCTTCAAACACTGAGCACAGGACGAGCCCGAGCTTGCCGGTGCAGCTCCACAAAGCAGACCCAATCCCCCTAAATCTTCCTCATCCACAGCCGTTGTACGCCTGATGGGATGAGTCGGGAATGAAGGGCTCAAATGGAGCTCCCGCTGTGGTGTAGTCTCCTCAATAAGCAGGGTGTCTCAGTCAGAGTCTCAGAAAATGTGTTTATGGCATAAACAAATTAGATCCTAACAGCTATGACACTAATATTAGCCAGAGGGTTGTAATTTGGCCCCCTTTAGACTCCAAGAGTATAATGCTACGATAGGTGCCACAGGCATGCTATTTTTGTTTATTATTTATTTCAAAACGAATGTGTTAATATTTGAATGTTCCCTCAGACATCGCCCCCTGCTTGGACAACGAGCTGAATGAGTTTCCCCTGCGCATGAGGGACTGGCTGAAGAACGTGCTGGTGACCCTGTATGAGCGCGATGAAGAAAATGACCTGCTCACCGAGAAGCAGAAACTCAGGGTCAGTTCAACTTTTTGCTCTTTATAGTCTGAAAAACCTCTGAAAATGGCAGCATTATAGTAAAAAAAAAACCCTATGCAATAATTTATTTAAAATACATTTATTTCTAAGTATACTACTAATTAATTAACATATTTATTGACATATCACTTATGACTCACTGATATAAAATTATAATTAAACTTTATTTGAAGTATTTCTTTATTGCACAATGCACATTTCTTTAATATTATGCCTAAAAAGTGTTCTAATATCACTATTAATAAGGATTTTATGATCTCTGTATAATATCAGTCTTTAAATGCAAGATATTTAAAGTGTACCTGAAGTATACTTGCAATAGTTCCACTTTTGCACAATCAAAAATACTTCAGTATATCTTTAATTGGACCTCAGAACTACTTTGCACAATTAAAGTGCATTAAGCACAAAATTAGTTGTTCCAATACCAGTTCAGCTTACTAAAAGTCAAATTGCAGGGTTTTTTTTATTAAGTAGATAAACATGTAAATGTATTTGTAGTATACTTAGCACAAAATAAATGTATTTCACATACATTTTAGTTGTTGTTTTTTTTCACCAGGGTAGGCTCATTGGAAAAAAAGTGCCTCTACCTGCATTTTCGCAAAACTCTAAAAACATACCTACACTGTAAAAAATGACCATGAATTTAACGGTAAAAGACTGTAAAAATGCTACAGTAAAAACCTGTTAAATGGTTAACGGTAAATTCCCCTACTATATACAGTGAAAAACTGTATTGGACATTACATGTATTGGACATTAATTTTACGGTAGTATACCATTTTTGGAAGTGAAATAGACTGTATAATTTACAGCGAATAACCGTAAATTGACATTCCCAGAATTCCCTGCGTTACATTTCAAATTTGATGTTTTTTTTGTTGAAATAACTATGTTTCTTCTTAGTTTTTTCTTATCAGTTTTGTATATTAGGGTTGTGTGTTACACCTAATGTTGTTAAATGAATGTGTATTGCATTATTTCAGTTTCATGTGTGTTACCGTGATGGTGTTTAGTGTTTGGGTGAATGACACTGTGCATCTATATATGTTATTATTTAAAAGCTGCTTGTGATGGGCTTTGGTTCATCATGTGACTTTCTCATCACCTCCTGCATTTGGTGGTTATCAGTGTATTACAGAGGTACAAAACAGATTTCAGTACTTCAATAGGTTGGTATATTAACATTATATCAGTTAATGGAATTACAGTATTTAACTGTAAATTTAAGTAAAAACCGTAAAACCTAAAGCGTTGCTACCACATTTTTTATGGTAAAATTCCGGCAACCACTGCTGCCGGGTTTTTTTTTATAGTGTATACATACAATTAACTGCAGTTAGCAGTTGAGATGAACACTAGAGGCAGTAAAACGCCAACAACTTTTATTCCTTTTCACACAAATTATGATTACAGGTGCAGATTATTATTATTTGTACACTAATACATTTTGATGTTTGCATTGCATAACCAGCTCCATATGTATGGCTTGTCTAACATAGTAAACTTGCTCTGTAGCTCACCCGGTACAGTCCTGTGAAATCACGATAAAAAAGCCCAAAGACATTTAAAAGCAAGCTAAAATTGCATGGTTGCCTTAGTTAATGCATTTTTAACATTCTCGGTTAGGTCTTGTGTAGGTGGTATGTTATTTTCAAACACAACACAGCACCTTTTTGCACAACTCACCAGACATTTTGTTTCTGAACTGCTGCGATGTATACAATAACCAATGTTAATGTAATACAACTTTGCCAGATTTATGTTCATCCAGGCACTCACTGGACATTTCACTTTAGAAGTATTGTGAAACATGCAAGAAGCCACATAATGTAATTTTGCAGAAATGGCACAGGCACCTTTTTCCAATGAGCATGGGTTGCAAAATACTTTTTTTGGCCTGCTGAACTTTCCATTGTCCTCTACATAACAATGACAACAAGTTTTGAACTAAAGATAAGCTCAATAGCAGCCTTATCTTAGGGAAGGAAAAAGAAAAGGAGTGTATGTATAATTGAACAATATATTCAAATCCAGATGGTAAAACTTCTGAATTGCCTGCAAACTTCATGCTGTGTTTGTAGATAAAGAAGATTTATGAGAATGAGAAGAGACTGCAGGCTGGTGATCATTCTCTGGACCTTCTGGCCCTGGACTTCGAGAAGAACTACAACATGTACATCTTCCCTGTTCACTGGCAGTTTGGCCAGCTTGACCAGCACCCCGTTGATGGGTATGTTTAACTCATTTTCACAGCTAGTTTTGTATCAGTACTCTGCATATCTGCTGTTTCGGTGACAGAAGCTGTTACCTTTTAGCTAATATGACAATAATAAGAAATAATCATTTAAATGTGCATGTGTTTCTGTGTTATATCAGCTTCCTGTCCCACACTGAGCTGGCTCCTCTGCGCGCTCCTCTCATCCCAATGGAGCACTGCACCACCAGCTTCTTTGAGCACTGCGATGCTGACCAAGACAAGTACATCGCTCTCGAGGAGTGGGCCAACTGCTTTGGAATCAAAGAGCGTGAGTTTTTGACCATGCCGTTCATATTGTTATTATGCTCGGTTAATGGTATTTGCTAACTTTAGCTGTTTTCTGCTTTCAGAGGACATCGACAACGACCTTGTCATCTAAGCACGTCTGCCATTGACGCTTCCTAGTTACTATTGGGGCAAAGTGCTAACCCTTAAGTTAAAATCAAAGTAAAGGTGCTAATTGCGATTTCTAACAACCTGCATATACCACTAAACATTCATTTTGTTTAAAAAAAAGTGCACAATCCACAATGAGTGACTGAACACTACCGTTTTTAAGTTGGCCAAGCAGCTGTTGGACAGGCTGTATTAAAGAGAGTTAAATATGATGAACTATGTATGTTGGAAGATACACCTTTTTTTGTTTTGGAAATGGATCCTCAAATGTTTTTTACACTCAGAAGCAGGGCCTGAATTGTAAAAAAAAGTGCACAATCCACAATGAGTGACTGAACACTACCGTTTTTAAGTTGGCCAAGCAGCTGTTGGACAGGCTGTATTAAAGAGAGTTAAATATGATGAACTACGTATGTTGGAAGATACACCTTTTTTTGTTTTGGAAATGGATCCTCAAATGTTTTTTACACTCAGAAGCAGGGCCTGAATTGTAAGTTTGGAATTTGATGGTGGAAATGTACAAAAACAAAATAAAGTTTCCAAATAAATGTTCTTTCTGCTTGCTTTATACACTTTTAGTTTTGTTTGTTGCACTCTTCGGTGGTGGATTTATTGTTTTGATTTCTTTATTAAATCTGAAAACGTCTTTTAATTTGAGCCCTGAATATCTGCAGGCTGATGTTTTTATTTGCATATTGTTTCCTGTTAGAAACCGGGGCCAAATGTTGAGTGTTTGAAAAGTTGAATAATAAAAAGAAATCTTATTTGAATTCAAGAGGACAGAATCTCGCAGGATGAGATTATTTTTTCCTCCCTCTAACATGTTCACATACATTTGCAGTATTTGCCACAGTGTGAGCACTATGAATCTCTTTACATGAATAAAAGCTACTGAAATTTCCAAACTCAATCTTTGCATGCATTTCTCCATTTATCTTGATCTGTTTCCCCCAGGTATATAATTGCATAACCCATTTATACTTTAATGTTTGCTATGAAAAACACTGTCAAACACGATGTTTGCAGATCATTTGTTTTATTCAGGCACCCAATATAATTTTAGCATTGAAGTAAATATGAATATGACTACATAAACACTGTAAATGTGCAAAGAAAACAATGTTGCATGGTCAATGGGGCTACAAATCTGGAGCACATGTGTTAGTACTTTCCTTGAGGGTGGAGTGAATGTTTACGTAATTTCCTGTTTGCCCTTTGCATTTAAAAAATATATTTCAGGACCCTGTATTTAAAGGGTTATTTTTAATCCTTGGTGGCTACCTTGGTGGTATAATGCTGGATGGACTGAACAGTTAAATGCTGAAAAACATCAAGAAATCAAACTCAACTGGTCCTTTCAACAAGCATGTATTTATAGATTTGTAATAATTATTAATAATTTAGATGAGAGGTTTTGTATATAGAATATTTTCTTAAACATTTTGGATTATACTAGATCCAAAAAGCAGGAAAGTTATAATAGTTTTAATGTTTGCTGTAATGTTTCACACTATTTATTCATATGCTATGCTCATATTTCTAAACAACTAGGCTCTACTATTGTTCAAACTAAAGCAGATTTACATTTGAAGTATGTTGCATGTACTGTATTGCATGAGGCAGTGGGAAAACTAGTGCATGGTCTCAGTGGGGATAGACAGTCATGGGAAAGCAGAGCTAGAGAGAGCAGGATTTACCCAGTCACCATCTAATGTGTAATGTGGGACCCCTAAGCTTCAGTGCATTTATCTCTTCTTTTACAACATTAAAGCGAACATAGTTGTTGAATTCAAGCAGGGTTGTCAAGTTATTGAAATAATTGGACTTTCTGGAAATGTTGTCATAAATGTGGCCATGAAAATCATCAAAGTACCTCTTGTGAAGTTCACTCAAAGGTCAGTGACATAGCCAAAATTAATGTTCAGGATATAAATCTATTACAAATAAAACAATGTTCTAAATTGTTATCAGATCATATTTGTGGTGTATTTGAACGTCAAATGTAGCAATAATATTGTTCAAATGTATTGAGAATATTTTCTATTTGAAGCCATTTTTGTCATCCCATTTTAGAAAAGGACTTTTCAAAACTGGGACAGTGTTTTGACTATTGTGGGACAGACAATATACTATGTTATTACATTTATAAAATGTGCATTAAGAAAGTTAAATGACATACATGTATATTTGTTACATTTTTGGGCTTATAATGCAGCGATATTATTTGTTTTAAGATCCAGATTCAAAATTTAGAGACTAGAGGACAATGAGATCCTGGACCATGATGAGACCATGACTGGTCAGGACTGCTTATTTCTGTCATGAAGTGTTTTTATCATTACAGTTTGCTTAACACATGCTTTTGAAAATACATATTCTATATTCTTACCATGCGCCGAGTAACAGCTTTAAAGACATTCCATGTTCCAAAGTTTAAATCTTTTTTTTAAATCATTAATCATTAATAAATTATTTCTAACCCAAAACACAGAGTCCCATATTTGAGCACAAGCTGCCCCACATTAGAAAATTCACAAATTCTTAAACGATTTGGCACAAGGAGCACTAATTTATGTGCCCATTCTCCTTTAAAGGGGTCATATGATGTGATTTAAAGTTTTCATTTCTCTTTGGAGTGTTCTCTTGGTGCATAAAGAAGATCTGTAAAGATGCAAAGACTGAAGTCTCAAATCCAAAGAGATATTCTTTATAAAAGTTAAGCGTCAGCCACGCCTACCTAAAACGGCTCATTTAAACACGCCCCCACATGTCTACGTCACGATGTGGGAAGACTTGCATAACGCCGCCCAAATGTTCACGCAAAGAAAGAAGGCGTAACTTTTATTCTCGCTGTAGTATTGTTGCTGCCGCCATGTCGTGAAGGCGCTGTGTGTTTCGTTGTGAAAGCGAAACTACTTTGTTTGGGCTTCCAAAAGAGGACGATATCAGCTTCATCATGCCTGGAGCTGATCCGTGCTGGTCGCTGAAGAAATACATCAACTTCACGCTGTGGATCACCAGATTGGCTTTCACCGTGGACGAAACGATCCACGTGATGCTGTTTTGTTGTGAAAGCGAAACTACTTTGTTTGGTCTTCCAAAAGAGGACACGACTAGAAATCAGTGGTTAAGTTGTATTTACAACACTGTTCCAGAACACTTCAACCCAAATATCCAGATGTGTGCAGCACATTTTATGGAGGACTGTTTCCTGATCCTGGGAGAGTAGACTACAATGCCGGCTGTTCTGACTCACAGACTGTAAGTACGTTTTTTTTATAAAGGATTTGCCACTGACGATTCAAATGCGAGTTTTTTGGGCAGTGTAGAGTAACGCTTGTTGTTTGTCATTCCTCCGATCACAAATGCAGACATGGTTTTATGTTTACACGGCAATGCAACGCGTAAAAAGACAGTAGAAGTCATTATAATCAGTAATTATGTCCCCACTGGACACAACAAATGCCTCGTTTGTAATGGGTTTTAATGTTTTGTCTCATCGCTCCGGCCGGACAGGGCATCACAGTATGGTGAGGGGCGTAACATTTCCGTCACACGCTTGAGGTATTCGGCCAATCACAACGCACTGGATAGCTGGCCAGTCAGAGCACACCTCGCTTTTCAGACCGATGAGCTTTGTAAAAATCGACGTGTTTCAGAAAGGCGGAGCATAGAGGAGCAACAATAATGTACAGTATGTGGAAAATAATGTTTTTTTTTTACCTTAAACCGCATAAACACATTTCATTACGCCAAATACACAAAATAATGTTATTTTTAGCAGCATCATATGACCCCTTTAAGTACAATATCTGAAAAATGTCCTCTGATTTTAAAAGGGAACATCTTGGGGATTTCATAACGATATAAGATTTCGATTTATTGTTTTGGCTTCATGTGGAAATATGATACACAATTCAAAATTGCAAAAAGTCTCCCACATTACCTGCAGCAAAGCAATATTATCCCACTGTGATTTATAGCTAAGTGAATATAGCATAACATTTGTTAATCAGCACGAATTAAAGTCTGTAAAACAAATATAACCAAGATATATAAACGGGCCTATGCTTAAATTGAAATTATTTTCAAATTGCGGTAATTAGAACGCTTTTGAAATGTATTATTATTGTTATTATTATCTAATATTTTAATAACAAGAAAGAGGTAAATGTTTAGTTGTAATAAAATGAATATGACAATGCAAAAAAAGCTAATGGTCTTAAAAAATGCCTTGCTTTAAATCTTTATTTTAATGCATTTTGATTTCTGAAGTGAATAAGACCTGCACTGCACATTTCCTTCACACGCGTCCTAAGAATCCCCCCAATTTTTTTTTCCCCCAAAAAAGTTTTCTCACGTGACTTAGAATGCTAGTTCGTGGTGCACAGTTTCTAATCTGCATAAAAATCACCTGGCAACGCGTTAGTTTGGCAAACAAAAAAAAGCTCAAAGCAACACCACCAGCTGCTGCGTAACAGGTCTCCACATTGTTCACGCCCGTGCGCGCCTAACAACCTTGCTGGCTTGCTCTGAGCCTTCCTTTCACTCTCGTTTTAATAGGTTGCGAGGTTTCTGCATAGTTGACGTTAATTTGTTGTTTCGGGGGGCTTTGCGAGAGCTCGAATGCTGATAGGGTGCGTAAATCCAATGCGTCGATCTGATTGGCTGTCGGGTTCTGCGAGCAGGCGGGTCGTTGATTTAGTAGCAGCTAATGTTAAACCGGCCCCCAAAAAAGTTTTCTCACGTGACTTAGAATGCTAGTTCGTGGTGCACAGTTTCTAATCTGCATAAAAATCACCTGGCAACGCGTTAGTTTGGCAAACAAAAAAAAAGCTCAAAGCAACACCACCAGCTGCTGCGTAACAGGTCTCCACATTGTTCACGCCCGTGCGCGCCTAACAACCTTGCTGGCTTGCTCTGGGCCTTCCTTTCACTCTCGTTTTAATAGGTTGCGAGGTTTCTGCATAGTTGACGTTAATTTGTTGTTTCGGGGGGCTTTGCGAGAGCTCGAATGCTGATAGGGTGCGTAAATCCAATGCGTCGATCTGATTGGCTGTCGGGTTCTGCGAGCAGGCGGGTCGTTGATTTAGTAGCAGCTAATGTTAAACCGGCAGTTCGCCACACGCGCTGCCGCCAGTGTCTGAGCTAAACGCCTCACAGCTACCAGCGCAGGAGCTGCTGCACTCAAATTACTTCAAACTCAACCCAAACACACGTTACTGATTCCCTCTTGGTAAGTTTATTTGATTTGATTTAATATGTTGTATTAAAAAAAAAAAAACATTTCTTTGCAGCCTTTTGTGTGTGCTGTAGTGTGGTTAGCGGTTACGCAGCTAATAGCCATGTGCTTTAAGTGACGGATTTGTTTTATGTAACGCTACGATTTCGCCGGTTTTCACCATAAAACCTTAAGGGTTATAACTATTACGCGTTAGTCGCGGATTGAAGCGGCTGAAACTCGCCGTCAGGCCGCTGGGTGGGTTTCCGTTGGTCGACGCTCTGAGGATTAGCTTTACGTTAGCTGCGTTTCCCCGACATTTCCGTCAGAGAGATCCCGCGTTTAATAAAGTAACGTTACATGGCGCGTCGTTTACTCCGTATTCCACTTTAAGTTCACTTAAACTCATTTTCCGTGTATAACGTGGTGATTTACTGTAGATAACTACCATCTCTTCCGAGCTAATGCGTCAAAGTCCTGGGCACGTGCCTTATTCATGAATGACAATTTCTGAAAACCAAGGGTTTGGCTTAAATTGTGAACGTACCTCAATAAATGTTTTTTTTAATAGCATCATATGTCTCGGTGTGATCACAAAGGAACCGGGCTTGTGATAGTAACGGGGCGTGTGGCGTTCGGGCCTACTTCAGTCCATTTCGCAATGGATCCATCTGATTAAACTGCGTTTTCCATTGGCAGAAATGTACCACCCTTCACGATGATCAGCCGATCTGCGAGGATTTAGATGTTGTTCTTACAGGGTGTGACATTATTTCCTATCTATAGAAACGGAGTCGACATTAAACGGCCTCGTTGCGTCTCGATCTTGATGGGCTTAACAAAGGGATTCGTTTCTGTTTCACTTGAGCGCTCTGTCTTGGTTTTCCCTCACCACACGTAGTTTACCTCGATAGCAGCTGAAGTTTGAGGGGAAAGTTAAACCAGGTCATGTCTATCATGGTCAAACCCAAATTACTTGAGGAACACAAACGGAGAGGTTCCTGACAGTTCCCTTTGTGTTCCTCAGGGAAAGTCATATGGGTATGGATCAATATGAGGGTATAAAAAAAGGCAATTTTCTTCTTTAGAGGTGATTTTTAATGAGTCATTTTGTTTTAGTTGAAACCAGTTGACCAAAGAAATGGTGATGGAGAAGCCAAGTGCCCAGCTTGTCGGGCGAGAGTTTGTCCGACAGTATTACACCCTGCTGAACCAGGCTCCTGACTACCTGCACAGGTCAGAATTTGCTTCGTATTTCGCTTTCTTTTGACAAGTGAGTTTGCAGAAATCCCTTGCATGTAGTACTTACTGCAGTACAGCTGAACATTTCTTTTGTCTTTCAGGTTTTATGGCAAGAACTCGTCTTATGTACACGGTGGTCTGGACAATAGTGGCAAACCAATTGAAGCAGTCTATGGGCAGTCTGTGAGTTTTAATACAAGTGTTGTGAATTTCTATTGCTGTTTTTGATTCGGTGCGGTAGCTAAATGCAGTATTTTTCTTTCTGAACAGGAAATCCATAAGAAGGTGATGGCTCTGAGCTTCCGCGATTGTCACACTAAGATCAGGCATGTTGATGCTCACGCCACACTGAACGAGGGAGTGGTGGTGCAAGTGTTGGGGGAGCTGTCCAATAACATGCAGCCCATGAGGAAGTTCATGCAGACATTTGTTCTGGCACCTGAGGTATGAACGTTTCTTCATAAATGTGTTATCAGCTCAGATTGTTAACATGACCTCGGGTGAATTAAACTGTTGTTTTTGAACACATGCCAATGCAGAGGTTGCACAGAGCAAAGCCTGAATTCCAAAGACCTGCAAAGTGAGTTGATAGGCATCATTGTAGGTTTTAAAGGGGTCATATGATTCTTTTTTAAAGATCATTATTTGGTGTAACCGAATATGTTGACATGCTTTAATGTTAAAAAAACACATTATTTTTCAAATACTGTACGTCAGGGGTGTCAAACTCAGTTCCTGGAGGGCCGCAGCCCTGCAGCGTTTAGTTCCAATCCTGCTCCAACACACATACCATGTAGTTTTCAAATAAGCCTGAAGGACCTGATTAGCTGGATCAGGTGTGTTTAATTAGGGTTGGAGCTAAGCTCTGCAGGGTTGTGGCCCTCCAGGAATTGAGTTTGACACCCCTGCTGTACATTATTGTAGGTCCTCTATGCCCCGCCTCTGTCAAAAGCTTTGTGTTCTACAAAGTCCCTCCTTCCGACAAGCGCAGTCTGCTCTGATTGGCCAGCTGACCCAGTGCATTGTGATTGGCTGAACACCGCAAGCACACGTCGGAAATGGAACGCCCCCATACCATAATCGCGTGCTTCATCTTTCAAAATAAATGTAAAGACAGACCCCAAAAGGGCAAC